CTCAGAGGCAACTCAGGATGTATTTCAATCCACAAGTTCCCTTTCCCGAGCTGCCAGATGATTCAAGACAGTTAATTTTTCAGAAAGCCGAAGCTTCAGGCCATGCTAAATTGAAGGCAATTCAACAATTCCTTCAACAGATAGCCGAAGATGGTATTAACCGATCTGGTATAGGCTTCACATGGGACACCTATTATTCTACTATAGAAGGAAAACTCAAAAGGTGTAATAGGTGTGAAGGAGAAACTGCAGATGGAATTCCACTTGATAGGTATGACTGTCAATGTCAACTCATCTATAGCATTTGCAGAGTTTCTCTAGATCTATCCTCCTATGAACCCATCCAGTTTTTATATAAAGGGGAAATCATTGAGTTAACTCCACGGTTACTCCTTGATTATGGTTTTCTCTATCAATTAATCTTTACAAAAATGGCAGATACTGATCTTGTTGGAAGAAGATTTGCCATTGCTGTCTTAGAAAGCATGCCTCCCAACTACATTGAGGCATTGATTCAGAGCAAGGCCCCTGAATGGAAGGGTAGACATTTGCTCCCGGCACAGCACAAAATTATTTTAAGGAGAAGGAGCAGTTTACCGCCTCTCTACAGAGACGTTCAAGCCTGGCCATCCACTACTCAGTCCCTCACAAAACAACTCAGACACTGGAAAGCTAGAACAATGGCCCACATGCAGGTCATGGGAGATGATTTTTTAGCTGGATACACCCTCTTTACCGAGGACAATATTCAAAAAATTTATCTTGATCCTGATGTGTTTATTCATAGTCAGAGTCAAAGAGAGATTTCCTTCTCACCTCAGACAAGCTACACTCAGCTACTAGATATTTACTCTGAGGAATATAAAAATGGTGAAGATCAATACGAATATCGCGACGCTGATTTGGGTGACGACCTTCCTAATGATTACCCAGATGATCCTCAGTTGGGTGGGAAAATCTCGAAAATCAAATGGAGGGATAATAAGTCAGACAAAGGAACAGGCATGCCTCACTCCAAAGTGACTGTCATGAGACATGTTCCGCAAAAGCCGGTTACTTTTTATCTTTCTCAAAAGATAAAGATGACCGACTTCAGTTACCTCTGTAAATAACCTTAGGGTTAGTTAACCATAGTTAGTTTTATGTAACTAGGGTTACTTTTACTGCAATTACTTTGTAACCCAGGTTAGTTTTTCTTTCTTTAAATATGCCTTCTTAGAAGTAGAAGTCACGGTTGGAAAGAAAGGTAGAAAGATTAGGAAGTAGAAAAAGAGAGAGTCTGCTCAAAGGTTGTACTCAGCTCAAATCCTTTGTAATCTGCACTCTTTCAAGTATGTATAAAATATATCTCATGTTATTTCCTTTAATGTGTTATTTAGCTTAAACACAAATCTTTGGCAAAGAAAATAGTCTGTAACTTTTGTTTGTCTCATTATTCTATATTCATATACTTATATATAGATGAAAGATTCCTGTTTCAGGCTGTTTTCGACTTCTTTCACAAAGATCTTTAAAAAGGAAAGATAATTGTTTTTTATGACCTACACCACTGTGGAGAGTAAGAAAGTTAAACCTGAATAGCTTGGTAGAGGAGAAATTCTTTACTAGCTAGCCCTACTGGAAAGTATCTTCTGAAGCCGAGGATGGCGTTTTAAGAGAAATCACTAGGGATTTGAAAATCAAGTTTTCTTGATTGGGTTGGTTACTAACTTTCTTGGGAAAGAGGGGGTCACTGGGTTTTGAAAAACTTGGAAAGATAATGAATTAATGGGTAAAGAAAAGGATCGAAAGCAGAATCCCACTTCCCTTTTCTCTACTCTCATCCATTTATAGCAAAAATAATGAAAACCCTAGCCTCAACTTACCCAAAGCCCGACCTACCATGAGCTATAAACCCAAAACTTTCAAATCCATGATGAAAGGGGCCTGATCTATAATCCAACGTCTTTTCTCTGGCTCGGATTCATCCGAATGGAGCTTGGTGCACCCTCACGGCCTTAATTCTCCATTCGGGAGTGATCTGCAGCAGCAACAGCATCGATCTGGTGATGGATGTGCAGATCGGTAGAGACCACATGAACTCAATTGAGTTCTAGAGAGAGATGTTCGCAGTTGTCCGCACATGTAGCTCTCGACGCTCGAAAAGTCGGAGGAAGAACCGAGAAAACCCAAATACATGGCTCTTCGGACCTCCCCAGCCTCACGACGCATGAAATCGATGAACGACAGGCGTAATATGAACAATGGGTTTTTAAGGTTTTTGGTTCAACTCCAAGAATTTCAATGTGGGTGGGCTGGCATTTTGGGCTTGCATTTCAATTTTTCCAAAGTCCAATCCAATCAATGATATTTTCTTCAATTTGATCTTTTAGTTGACATCTCCTTAATTTCATGAAAATAAGTACCGGCTGCCTGCACAACAAAAACAAAGACTAATTAATTTAATCTTTTATATTGTTATTTATCTTTTAGTTGATATTCAACTCTCATTTCCTCTCCTCGAAACTAAACAGGCTCTTAGAGTCTAATCACAAATGATAAAAATCAACAACAGAGGCATATACTGTACCAATATAAATCAAAATCATTAGTGGATATAATCAATAATACCAGTTTCCATTCAAAGTAGTTAATTAAGGAGTTATTCAAACCACACAACTAAGCTAAGCATGTATGTTTAAGTTTTTTAACCTCATTTTAATACAAACAATTTAATAAATATCACTTCCACCATCTTTAAAAGTAGAGTTTTTGTAGATATCCGTGAATAAAACAATTTATAAGTATTTGTAAGGTTAGTCATACTAATAGACTACATAGTGAACACTGTTATTAAAAAAAATAAAGCATTATTGTCTAAAAATTAAAGAAAAGAGAAAACAAGTGCATCAAAAAAAAAAAAAGAAAGAAAAGAAAAGAGAGAACAAAGATAGTTCAAGCATAACACTGCAAACATAAGAAAGTTCAGCCGATAAAAGAAAAAAAGTGCAAAAAATTAAAATGCAAGAGAAAACTTCTCTAAGCCTCCTCTAGTTTTTTCACCCATTCCCTCCTCCAGTCTTCCTTCTTTAGCGCAACAAAAATCTGCCTTTGATCTGAAGATTCAAATTTAGTTATTGCTTTCATTGCAGCAGAAGCCGATATGCCTTCCATGCTTTCTAAAATACGAATGCATTCAAGAATAGAGTGAGGATAATTATCCCAGCTGCCAGCATGATTACTCGTAGTCGTAGATCCCTTCTTTGCAGATAATGCAACTTGTTGTGTTTCCATCAACTCATCATCCAATTCTTCAAGCCTAGAAGCCCTGCCAGAACGGCCACTTCGAGCTGAACGAGCTGCATGCTGTTTTCTCTTTACAGAATCATCATTTTCATCCCCAGAGTCATCGCCGTCCAACTCAACATGCTCTGTACCAGCTAAAAATTCTTCTTTTGAGTTCCTTTCTTCATCTGAAGAAAATGAATTTTGTGTTGGCTTCTTATAATGTTGGAGCCCCACTTCTATGAACTTATCAGGATCATTGATTTTCTGCAATTGATAGACACAAAAAGGTAGATTAGATATGTGAAAGTCAAATATGCATTATTTGGAAAAAAAAATCTTAAATATATTACCCTAAAAAGAGGAAAGGCCTGTAGTTATCCCAAAGTGTGTTTTGGAACAACCTTCCCCTTAAGGTTAATTATATATCAGCCTCAATTTTTTATTTCCAAAATTTTTAGTATAATTTAGCCTGTTAAGAGATAGATCATCGTAAGGACAAGTTTGTTCTAAAAATTGGTATCAACCAACGCATAAATTAGATAACCTAGGAATCCAAACTTTTGGCTTAACTAATTTAACCGGCAAACTACTTCATCCAAAGGTGCAAGCAAAACTCTATTTTAAGGATAGTGGATATAACCTATTAAAATTATTAGCACACACAAATGGCTAGCTATTGCACAAATGACCTGTTCAAATTAGCTTAACCAAATTTGCATTAAGTCACACACATTATGTTTAAACGAGTTTACTGAGAAAAATTAAAGAAAATATGAGGTAATTTCAAAGAGAAAATTGGGAGAGCTACTTACTGCTAGCCTTCTTCGGAAGTCATTTTCCTCCTTATCCTTTCTCTTCAATTTGTAAATAACCCTCTTCAGCTGATTTATCATTTCTGTTTTAGATTGCGAATCATCATTCAAATCCTTAATCTCTTTCTTTAAATCATTATTCTCCTTCTCAAGTTCCACCAATCTCTTTGCCATATCTGTGAACCGTTTCTGTAAAGATGAAGGATAAAATACAAGGTAAATAACTATTCCAAAATACCTAATTAAAATGGGTGACTTAAATGGTTAAAAACTTGAGAATTCAGTTTAGAGATCTCAAGTTTAAATCTTTCATTAGGGAGATATATAAGATTACGAGAGAGAATTATTCTCTCTTGTATGGTAATGATGTACCAAAATAATAATAATAATAATAATAATAACTATTCAAAAATTAAAAGAAGACAGGGTAAATAGTTTCTATATATGTAGCACCAAAAATGCAGACAAACGTTATATGACAATATTGAGAGAAATCAATAGAGAGAAGATATATATAGGTAACAATAACTACCCAAAAATTAAAAGAAGACAGGACAAATAGTATCTATATATGTAGCACGAGAAATGCAGACAAACGTTATATGACAATATTGAGAATTCAATAGAGAGAAGATATATATAGTGTTACCTTCTTCCTATCCCTGTATTCTTTGTCAGCCTTTTTTCTGTTAGCAGCCTGCTGCCCTGGACTCAATTTCAGTTTACCTTTCCTTCGAATATTGATATTGGTGTGATCCGGACTTGGTTGTTCCGAAAAACTAATTTGATAATTCGTTACAGCTGCTTGACCATGTTGTTGGCTGTCAAATGTATCAGTTCTTTGAACACTGATATTGGTTTGATCTGGAAAACCAATTCCATGGATCGATCCACCTGGTTGATTATATTGTTGGCCGTTAAATTGCGTTGCCATACTGGTTGGATTGTGTGGTGAAACACCATATGGCATATCGTCCAACGTTGGCATCGAATCAACTGCAAAAATTTGAGAAATCCACGGTACAAATTAATGAAATCATGTTATAAAATTTAGCTAATTCTTATCTTGTAATTTGTTCAAATCTTTATCTTCTTCCTGGTGCTCGATCGTGAGATTCAGGTGATGGAGAAAATACTTTAGCACTAATAAAGAAAATGGAACAACATCAGGGAAAACCATAACATCACTCATCATTTCATCAATTACTTGTTCACAAACACAAATGACGAAACGACTTGAATCAATTGAAGGAATCAATAGTAACGGAAGACTTACAGCCCGTTCCAGAGTACTGATATGACTGGTCGAAATCCATCTCCTCTTCATTTCCTCCATAGAAACCGGCCGGTCCTAAGTTCGCCATGAGCACTAGCTGTGGTTAAGACTCTCCGATTCAGTTGCAGCTGAGCGAATGGCAAAATCAGGCGGAGGAGCGTTGATTTATAGGGGCGAGCAAGTGTCTAAGTCGGGCGGTTGACTTTAAGTCGTCGGGTGACTTGCCGAAGAAATAGAAATTCAAATCGCAAGGGTCGCACGTATCCCGGCTGATGTCTACCGGACTGGACTCCGGAGTCGAGCTTGCATACGGTATTTATTACCTTTTTAATCAAAATAATGGGAACCAACTCGTCTCCAGCTGCCCCGGCCCCCCACCCCCCTCCGTCAACACTGTAAGAACTCATGAATAATTTTGTTCAATTCAAAGCTGTAACAAATCGATAAGAATAGTTATATGTGTATTAATCAACATGTTAAATCGCCCTAACAAACTTTTTTTTTATTAATATAATTTTATTATTTTTTCTAAAAAGAAGTATTTCTTTTTTTTTTTTAAGATTTTAATATTTTTTATTTTTATTTCAAATATTTAATTAATAGTATATTTGA